TAAACAAGTCTGGCAGTGTCGATGTCTGATAGCTGCCTAACCTTCCTAATTGCAAAAACAGCGGAGCTTAACCTATTCGCAAGAGATGATAGATGGGGACACCATTGGAGTTTTGAATCTACCGTGATTCCCAAGAATACAGCGGACTCAACAGGATTAAGGGTTACGCTATTCAATTTTAAGCTAAAACTTTGCCTTCTTACGTTGGGAAGGGCAAAAAGAAGGCATTTAGTTTTTTTTAGCATTTAACACCATATTATTAATGGTAAACCAGTGGAGGATACGCGAAAGTGCACTAATGAATTAAGCTGGACTCCAGCTACGCTGCCAATTCGTTTTGGTGGTATCGGTGTAAGGAAAATTTCTAGTGTCGCTCTACCTGCCTTCCTTGCTTCCGTGCATAGTGTAAATAATTTATGTAATAACATCCTTAATCACGATTCAGAACTTTCCTATGCAGAGGAGGCAAGGATGTCTTGGCTGTCTATCTGCCCCAACGAAAATATCCCACTGGAAGTAAACCTACAAAAACAGTGGGATGTTCCTTTGGTGCGGAGAGTACAGAGAGATACGTTTCAATCTTTAGAAAGTAATTTAGAGCGTGCCCGTTCCCTAGGCGTCTCATCTAAAGAATCGAGTTATTGGCTTCACGCTTTACCATCAAGTAACTTGTGCACATTACTTGACGATGAAAGCTTACGCATTGCTGTAGGAATCCGTCTGGGGGCACCGATTTGTCAACCACACCAATGCCCTTGTGGTGTCAGTGTAGACAAATTTGGTCTCCACGGGCTTTCTTGTCAAAAAAGTGCTGGCCGTTTTTCCCGCCACGGTTCCCTGACGGTTTAACATTGATCCCTTGGGAGAGAGGCAAAGCGTTTGTTTGGGACGCCACTTGTGTAGACACTTTGGCTGCCTCTCATCTAAGGGGAACTTCGGTCAGGGCCGGGGCGGCATCGGAGGCAGCTGAAGTAAGTAAATGGCGCAAATATGAGTCTTTATGTTCAGATTATGTATTTGTGCCATTTGCTGTTGAAACATTAGGTCCGTGGGGTCCCCGCACATCAAATTTTTTTAAAAGTTTATGTCCTAGGCTTAACGCCGCGGCTGGTGAAAAGAGAGCTGGTTCTTTTCTCGCTCAAAGGTTAAGCATAACTATTCAGCGAGGAAACGCAGCTAGCGTTCTTGGCACCATGCCGCGTGGATTAGGTTTATTAGATAATATGTAATTTTAGATAGATTTAATCTTGTAAATATTAGATCAAAAATAAATTAAAAAAAAGATATTGAAAAAAAATTGAATTGAAGTAATAATTTGATAACAAGGTTTGAATTAGTTTATAAAGATGTTTCATTTCATTACCGAGTGTTGTACACTAAGATGGCACTATTGTACCGTATGTTTTAAATTTCATTTTTCTTTAAAATGTGTAGAAAATTTCATTTTTCTTACAATATTCGCTAGATTACGTTAAGAACCGACTGTTATTTAGTTTTTATTTCTACGTGTATGTAATCTAGTACATTAACGCTATCCTGGTAATTTTATGAGCCCTTATTTTACACATTTTTAAAGAGAATTTTCAGTTACAAAACACGGCAGCGTTATTACAAATCTTCACATATAATAATGTTCTGACGATAAAAGTTATGCACTGCTCGATCAACGATCAAACTTGAATCTTTACAGCTTTCTCAATAAATATTACTACGCGAATGTCAACTTTTTATACACGTATTAAATGTAATATAATTAAACATTAATGCTTTCGAAAGAGTTTTATCATGTAAGTAGTAACTTTATATTGCGCTTATGACATGAGCCATCAGATATAGGCCGTCGTAAACTTAAAAATATAATTTTATGAAACAATAAAAATATGTTTACGGCTTGTGTATGTGTTGCCAGAACTAAAAAAAAGATATTTTTTAAAAACTATGTCAGAGGATGGACCAAGCGTGAAGTAAGAAAGAGTGAACTCACTTTTACCATTCAGCACACAACCATGTAACAAGAATAGCAATTGCTACGGGCCCCGCGCCAAATGCGGCCCTGCATTTTAAAACCCACTCATCTCTACCTGAGCTTTAAATTTTTGAGTGAAACTTATTAAGTGAGGGTATTGAATTTCTTTTTACCAATTTATATTTAAGAATCCATAAAAGAACAAGGTCTGTTTGAAAGAATTTTGTTCGGACCCCGCGTTTGGTTAATCGGGTACTGTAAACAACTAGTGGCCTCACAATTACACATTAGTCCAATCATATCACGAAAACAACGTTCACAGAAAAGGTTGGAGTACACTCGCAGATCCGAAGCCCATGAGGTGGTAAATGGAGTGCGTATGGAAATCTTAAAGGCCAAAATCTTAAAGGTTGCCAGGAACTGTGGTAGGGCTACGCAACAGTCTTCACTGTTACACTAATGGGCTGGTCATCCGGGTAAGTACCAAGAACTCACTGAAGAAGGTGAAGTGGAGATGTTAAACTTCTGCGTTTCGTCTGGTGAGTGAGGTGGCCGGGGCCCATTTTAATAAAAGGTGGCAACACATCTGCAACCCTACGGTTGTCGCAAGTGCCAATGGGCGTGGATTATCACTTAACATTTGCCTCCTTCTCGCATAAAAATAGATAAAAGACCGTATCCCTGTTACCACCACTGCCTTCGGAAAGTCCAATGTTGTTTTAGTGCTGTTTATATGCATTAGCTCTGCAATACGATAACGATAACGATAACTCTGTGTAGTTTAAAGAACACAAATCAAACCGAACAACGTCTACGATCCTGAACAGTTATTTATAGTATAAACAAATATTCGTACGAACTATAAACAATTGTTTTATTGCCAAAGCGTGACGACTGTGCCAATTGAGCGTTCGATATGATTAATAGATTTTAGTAAATTTTAGACATTCACCCATCTTTTATCTTTCTTGTGCCTTTGGGAAGGCTTATGTCCAGCAGTGGACTGCAAAAGGCTGATTGCTTGATTGATTGAAGACTTTCACCATCGTTCGTCCTCGAGATTGCGACTCGCCACCCAATCCAACTCCTCTCTCTTACCGTCCTATTGCAGTAATTTAAATTAATGAGACGGATAGATCAAACAAACCTAAACTACTTGAGAACTTCTTTTTTCATTTGACCTCCCATCTTATTTTATTTTATTTTATTTGATGGGTCTCCCCAGGTCTATAATCTGCGAAGTTTTTCAGTGCATGCACTGGTGACAGGCAACGACCCAGTAGGCCGTTCGCTGTACAGGTCCCTATGCATCTTCAAATCTTATGCATTGATCAGATCACAGTATCCCGACCGAAGTAAACGTAACAGAGAACAGAGGTTATTGTGATGTGAAAAGGGCTCATGAACCACCTTATGTTAAGTGATTACTGCCCCCATGGACAGGTGCAACACTTGAGAGCTAGCGTGAGAGATTGATGGATAGATCAAAATTACCTCAACTAATTGAGGGGTTCTTTTTTCATTTGATCTGTCTGATTTATGAGCGAATGCTGCATGAAAGTCAAAAATTATATATTTTTTTTCTTTATAAAAATATTGAAAAATACTATTTTTCCTACATTATCATGACCAGCTCGTGAGAGAAATGTAAGATTTAAGTAAGAAACCAAGTCATACTTTAAAGAAATATGTCCAGTTTTGGGAAAGTTCACAACTAGCAGGAGTGTTACACCCATGCCTGCCCGCGCCGTGCCTCAGAATCACCGCAATTTCTAAAGCTTCACGTTCAATACCTAGATAGACCTCCTTAGAGTATTCCCTTCGCCTTAAAGTCTGTTTGATCAGTGACAGGAAATTTACTTCAACGGAGAATTTAATCAGGCGAGAAATCCGATAACAGACAATCCATTCAAGTTACCCATTACGATTACATTCCACGTAACTGAGTGTTATAATTAACATTTCAGACGCATGTTGCGTTTATAAAGGCGTAAGGTTCAAAAATAAAAGGAAAAATGTAGTTTGGAACGCATAACTGGGGACGTAGTAGGATATTTTATGATATGGCAAAAATTTATAGAAATGCGACGTTTATCGCGTTCTCTCTATGCTTTGGAAGCATTAAAACATCCGTTATCGTGAGTTATATTAGAACTTAAAACTTCTAAGTTATTCTCGTTTAAGTACCATGCGCGTTTTTTGCGTAGGCTCAAACAAAATTTAATTAAACGTTTCGGAAACATCGAAAATATAATGTCCGTGCTAAAGTCACTGCCTCGCTTTTTTCCTCGAGACGACAGGCTCGCCACCTCTCAAGACAATGCTGTTTTTGAACTTAACACAACGTAAGAAACGTTTACTGCGCAGTTTTTATTCCATACACTTTGGACAAACTCAGATTCGGAAAAAATACCCTCCCATAGTTCATAGCTTAACAATTGCGTCAACTACGCTGCATAAATAGTACACTTTATATCTTTCCAAATGAGGCTAAAACTAAAAACAGCACAATCTAAAACTGCTCGAATCTTAAATGCAGTCTACTTGTCTTCATCAAATGATGCTCACCATGACTATTTTACTTTGTTGATTTTGAGGGCCTGCTAACGTCCTTCAAAAGTATAGAACATAACGCGCCCACTTAAACCAGACGTAGGCTGGTAGACCAAAGAATGTTTAACAACCTTTCAAAGCTTTCACCGTTTCAAAGTGTGCCTCGGTCCTTTAACTCAGCATACAAAACTCAATATTATCTGTCGTCTTATCACTAGGTTATGCGTCACCAACCATTCAAAAGGTTTCCCGATACCTCTGTTAGCTTAGCTCACTAGACGAAATGCAACATTATACGACATCTGTTCACTGAGTCTTCTTCGACTTCTTATTTAATCGCAGCAGGTCCTAAACTTCGTGGAGAAAACATGAAACCCTGACATCGGAACCATCTGCCTCATACAAAACAGGTCCACAACTAGCTCTCAACCTGTTTTCGACAAAGTTTGATGGACCAGCTATTGCTGTCTAGGGCACATCAGAAATTAAAGACGAAGGCTTGTGAATGCGAACATGAACTGAACGCGGCTTTGATCTCGTCGATCGTTTCATCTGACTGAGGGGAGTTAACGCTTCTTTCTATTTGCGGCCCGACACGTTAATATCCCTTTCATATGGTAACCGCACATTTCAGTTTTATGAAACTGAAATTACATCGATCTAGTAAATATAGACCAAAAGCTGTTGCGGGGCATGCGTTATTGTGCTTCTATGCTTTTTCCTCGTTCTTAAAAATACATTGTTCTTTTACCGCGTCAGGGCCACGTGGCAGAAACTGTTGCACGAATAGACAGATCTGAGACGGTTGAGATTGGTAACTACTGAACTTCATAGACCAAACACATCGTACTCACAAATACCTGTGTGTGTACTAACTACTGGGGTATCTGCTTCGAAAAATATTGCCAAATTTAAACTCACTGACAAAGACGTCACAATTGACGTTGCACAAAAGGCATCGTTATTTTGTGTACATTGGTTGTCCTGGTACTCTTTTTTTAGGTGCGGTGGAAAGCAAGCTGGCAGCTAATAAAAGAACGTTTGTGTGTTAAAGGCTACTATAATATTATTTAAATGATAACACACTCTTGCAATGAACTGATCGCTCCAGGCTCTTTCAATCAGTCCTTATATTGTATTTTTAATGAATTCATGTCAAACTGCTTATATTACAAAAAAAAATATTTAAAAAAAAAAGCCCGCTGACTTTCTTTCGCCGGTTCTTCGGCTTTCTTTTCCGAACCGGTGGTAGTGTTTTGACTATCAATAAGCGAGTGTAATGCTCCTATGATGAATAAAGACGAAGATTTTGATTTTGAGCTCACCTGATTGCAGATGCGTTGTCGCCTTATAATAAAGTGGACCCCGGCTACTTCACTCACCAGACATAACGCAAAAGTATAACACTTCCACTTCATGCCGGTCTTCTTTGAGGTCGTGGTACTTACCCGGACGGACCTGCCCATTCGTGCAACAGTGAAGCTGTTGCGTGGCTCTACAACTCTGCCGTTAAATTCTCTCATTACTTTTCTATATATTTGTTGTTACATATAAAGCTTACCAACGTCGATAGCGAATCGTGTACGAGAAATACGCGGGATTAGGACAAGCAGGTACATGTGAAAGAGAACTTGTGTATTAATGTACCTGGTGGCAGCACTGTCTCGGGCAGGGAACCAAATGGTAAATGTGGCTCACCGGCGACAGCGGCTGGGGCGTGCTGGAAGTCCTGAGCATGCTCAGCTTGCGCCGCTGCTCGGCGGTGAGCGACGCTCGGCGGCTCCTGGCGAGTTCATAGTCCGACAGGTCAGCTGAGTCGGTGCTCAGGCGTCGGAGTTTCGGACGCAGCATTGCGTTTTTAACGTTCTCACGTCAGAAGTTAGGGTGACGAGTGTTTAACGTTTGTCGACTGTTACGCTTACGCGAAAGTGCGGCTGAAATTGTACGCACGTTGTGTCTCGTGTTGTGAACGACGCAGATTAAAAAATACAAGGCTACACTGTATAAAATCAATGAGCTGGCCACTAAGACATTAACAGCAAAGGTCGTGAATTATATTGTAGCAAATGCCTTTATAATTCTCTTGTACATTTCGCTATTGTGAATAACAACATTCTTATAATTTACAGTTAAGTGACACTGCATAATCGTTTATTAGACACCGCCGTTTAAGCTGTACAACTAGACTAAGCCACGTAAATTGGATATATATATATATATGGAATGTCTAGGATTGCATAGCTTAATAAATTATCATTAATCAGAAAATCGAGAAATTTACAAATAGAGTAAATCTTATTTAAAAAAAATATATTATTTAAATCATTATACTTTCCTTATTTTAATGTTATTATTAGTGCATGAAACATACATGTGTAAAAATGTTTGTAAACCGTGTTTATATACCGTCAACCTAATGACTTGTTTGCTAAATATGAATATGCTTATATTATTTTATGCAACATGAATTACTATTTCTAACAAAAAGCATTTTATAGCTGAGACAACTTAATCATATTCAGACCACGAGTCACAATCACCTTTTTCGCTCCATCTCACTGTTTGTTCAACGACACATATTTTCGAACGATTTGAAAACAACTGTCGCAAAGCGTTCTTAAAAGTTAACTATTTCACGAACCACGCTTTAAAAACAGATTATTTATTCAAATACCGAACGCGTTCGAAATTGCGCGCGAAAATCGGCGCCCGCCTAACGAGCGTACATAGGACGGGAGCGCGGGAACAAGGAACACAGACTGAGGCCGCAGAAGCGTGTTGGCGGCAAATCGGCATTGCACAATTATCTGTCTGACATTTAAAATTGGACCAGACGTGCGACCATTAGCACGCCTGATGACATACCACTTTCCCCTTTATTGTTGGCTTTATTGTAAGCGATATGAGCCAACATAATATAGGTACAAGAAATGTATATTATGGCCCATATCGTTTACATGGGTTATACGAAAAATGCATTCTATTATTTTTTTGAAAAAAATATCAGTAGTAATTCATGACTTGAGATTTTCCTCTTTTATTCGCGGTTTTATGTGGAGAGTTTTATGAATTTTAATTTTAAAATTCTTGTAATGCTAGAATTTAAATATTCAAAACAGATATTCAGAGGTAATCAAAACAGGTTTTTTTACTCCGTGTCTTCAAATAAAATCTTTTGGTTCTGAAAAATGCAATAATATACAGCGTGTCGTTACAACCGCGACAATAAATGAACAAACGTATAACGCTACTTGCCAATAAGCATAGAAAAATATAAAACGTTAAAAAATCCATAATTAAAAAAATATTTTTCAAACAAGCTAACTAAATAAAAAAGAAACAAAATTTGTAACCTCCTATACAACTACAACTAACTGATATCATACATTGATCTGATATCGTAGATCATACATTCAGACACTTTTTCATTCGTTGCCGCAGCGTCGCATAACAAATCTCTCCTTCTAACAGTATGTTTTATCCCTTTCAAATTCATTCAACCCATTCATATGCTTTGTGACCTTTGAAATGAACTTTACGTTACAGTTTTATACGTAAGGGTGTTCTAAAATTGTTTCTTTTCGAAAATTCAATAACTCGGTAAATATAGATGTTTAAAGAATGTAAATGATTACTACAATTTGAATATGTTATCCTCTAAATGTAATACACATTTATGGTAAGTTAGTAGCGATACGCTGTATATTTTTCAGTATTAGATTGTAAATCATGATGACTCCGTGACGCAGTAGCCAAGTTTTCGGCGTCGGGGTGCGTGGGTTCGATTCGCACACGGGACAACTATTTGTGACCCACAGATAGTTGTTTCGCATCTGGGTGTTTGTCCGGGTAAAGTTTATGTTTGTAAAACGTCCTTACAACACAGGATAATATTATCCTAAAATAAGGGCAATGTTTAAAAAAAAGGAATCAGTTCCTTATCATGAGGGTTCTAAAGGTATTTAGAAATTTTATTAATATTTGTAAACAATCATAAAATGCAATAAGTAGCCATCAAGTCCTTATATTCGATAAATGCGTTGCTGGTATCATCATAAATCTTTTTGTTGTTATGACACAATTAATTATTACGCACTCACAGATATTGTATTAGAATGCAGCGTTAGAAATGTACGCCTGGTTAAACTCTCTGAATTGTTCAGAATGATCTTTAAGATCTTTAAGAGTTTAACTATCCTTTTGACAGCTTAAATAACATTTGAAAATGCATTTGACAGCTGATGAGTTAACTTCTACCATGATCAGTGTTTCAAAAACCGGACGTTAGTCGTTCGTACGTACCCCTTAATTACAATTACACATTAAAAAGATCTTCAATTCGCAATTTCTACTGGGCTGCTGTATAAGGCTGGAAGTTAGAAGCAATCTGGACATCTGTCGTCATACAATTAATAAAAGACAATTTAAATCGAGAAGTCAATGAGACAATTTACCAGTTACAAGTTTTATAGCAACTGATCAGAGACTAGGAAATCTTAGAAACGTTTATTCCAAACATTACGATTAGCCAGTTATCTTTTGAAAGTTATAAAAGTAAAAAGATCTTTATGAAATTATTGCAGTCAATAACTAGCACCGGTAAACTAGTTTTGTCAATTCCTAAATGCCACTAGAAACTAGAATATTGTATGTACAACTTTTAATAGTATTTAATAATAGAATATTCGAATAAAATGGTAATCGTATCGGTAAATACGGTACAAGCTGAGAGCAACAATCACTTTAGAGCGTCATCACAAAAATATATGTAATTGCAAGATTTTCGTCGTTAACATATGATACATTGCCTTAATGTCTATACTTAGCTGTAACATAAAAAATATCCTTCACTTCACTTTTCCTGCCTAACTAATAACGGAGGGAATTTTAGGTAATTTACTTATTTATTTAGTGATCATTCTCCTCGTTTCACTCGTGTTTGTTTCGGCAAAAAGACACAAAGGCCTGACTTGAAAGCTTTAATTAGCAAATCGTGAATACAAGCCACCAAAATAAAATTTTTGGCATGTCTTGTTAGTCAATATCTTGCTACGTTACAACAGGCCTTCTCATTTAGCGAAAACATAAACGCATTATAGGTATACGAGAAAAAATATAAGGTTTTTTTTTAATTTAATTCTTTTCCGTAAAATTTATGGATAGCAAAAAACGAGCTACATATTGAGAATAAGAAATATAAAAAATCTAAACGTTAAAATTTGTAGAAAAAAGTACGAAAATTACGTCGCCGCTGTGGGAATCGTCGAAACCCATGTCACCGGGAGACGTAGGTTCGATTCCCACAGACAACTCAATAATTATTTCTACAAATTTTAAAGTATAATCTTGCACTTAAGACTATACTTTAAAATTTGTAGAAAGCGTTTAGCATTATAAAATTTTTAAAAATCTAAACGTAAAAGCGAGCGCGTAGGAAACGCTAAAAATAAAAAGTTTTTTTTTACTGTCACAAAACAACAATGCGGAAAATCGAGATCACTCCGTTGTTCTATTAGTCTGACAGCTGTGTTCTACCGTATAGTAAGCCGCTGCCAAATTATTTGAGACAAATAAAATGTTTCGCGTCGCAATCCCTCGTAGCTGTCTACTTTACAGCGCGTAAGGTTCTAATGCTACGGAATTAACACACGGCATATTTTCGAAATGGTTTACATACAAAGATTAGAAAGATTATTGACAAAAAATTATAGGTTTTTTTTTTTTTTCAGAAAAACTACGCGTAGTACTAGTGAATGTAACCTGTAATTTTTTTGTCATGTGGTAATGGTCAGAGTATCCTCATAAAATGATATTGAAATTAAAGATATGAGTAACATATACACTTTTTTATAGTTTTTCAAACGTGGAGAGCACTGACCAGTTGGATATAAACCAAAAAAGTCATGTCTGTTGTATAGGATCCCCACTTGAATATTTTTTTATTTTGTTTTTTTATTGTATTTGTTGTTACAGCAACAACAGAAATACATCATCTGAGAAAATTTTAACTGTCTAACTGCCCGGTGACAGACGTACAGACAGACAGCGGAGTCTTAGTGTTAGGTTCCCGTTCTATCCTTTTGGTAAGGAACCCTAAAAAATATATAAACCCCTTAAGATTCTTGTTAGTATAACACCACCGTAGCTAATGTGGCAACGTAGTTAATTTTTTAAAAGCTATGGTAAAATGTTTAGTCTGTAGCCTGAAGTTTGGTTTATCGAAGAGATCAGCTGTTAAGTGCTTTAAGAGATCAGTGTTAACATTAATTTACCGGCATTAACGAGTTCCGTGTACTGGTTATTATGGCAGCTGTTCCTTTAACGAGATATACATCGTGATTTCTTAACGCGTCTCTTTTACAAATGAAACTGCAGATGACAGATTGATCAACAAAATCGAAGAAAATATGTTTATTTGGAGAGGACGGTATCACTTAACATCAAGTGTAACCGCCAGCTCGCTAGTCATGTTCTAACAATACATTAAAAAAAATTAAAATCTACTCCCCATAAAGCATACCAATGATTTTACAGAAAAAAAGTATTTTTTGATAAAATGTGAAAACGGATCTGATATTGACTAAAATTAGAGCGTCATATTTTTCCCCTGAATGGCTTGCAGATGTCGACGGCGAAAATACGAATAAAATTGGGGCTGTCTTCTCGTCGTAATATTAAAGTGCGAATTAACGTCAGCGCAAATTCATAATTTAATTGGCTTGATGCAAAACACCCGCTTGGAAGCAATTAGCAAAGATGATGTGTGACGCTGAGTTTAACGTTGTAAACCAGTTGACATAGTTTTTTTAAATATTGACATGCATTTGTTTTTGTGACTTACTCAAAAACGATCGGTCAAAAAATATGTAAGAAAATTATTTGATAATTTATTAGAATTTATTTTTAACTTTGGGTTACCCAAAGGTTAAAATGGGTTAAACGTTTGTAACGTTTTTTGTTAAACTGTTTTTAGAAGTAAGCATATTTTTTTTCAATGTTGCAAAATAAACATTGATTTGTGCAACAGAAATGTAGTATTTTACTTGATATAATGTTAAACAGTATAAAGCACGCAGACTCACAAGATAGGACAATACTGTATCTATATTATACGGTTAGCCACTTCCCAGCAACTTAACATACGATGCGCCTAAATGTTTTAAACCCAATCACATAAATAAAATAACAACACCAGTTACGATATTGTATGTACATCGTAGCGTATAGTCATCGTAGGTGTAGATGTTCCAACAAGATTGGCTGCCACCAATATTTAAGTAGACGTTAAAATGAGGAAGAATCGTATCAATAATACTCTTTTCTCGTGATTGGGTTTAAGTGACTTTAAATGTACAATATTTAAACATACAAAGACATTGTTCACTCATTCTAAACACATCACAAACAGTTCAAGCTTCAAACAAGCAGGAGTATCGTTAGCTCATAAATAGATCTTTCATCCATTTATGGGACAGGACTTGCGTTCACACACATATATGTACGAATAACAAGTGACAACGAACACACAGAAAAACACAGCTCAGAACAAGCTGTCGACGTGGCGGCTAGGCAAACTACACTACCTGGTGGCAACACATGTATAACAAGCGACAAACGAAGGCACAGAAAAACTCAGCAGAACGAACCGAAAAAGATGTCGACGTGGCGGCTAGGTAAACTACTCTACTTGATTGCAACACATGAATAACAAGCGAAAGACGAACACATAACAAAACAGCGCAGAACAAACCGAACAAGCTGTCGACGTGAGGGCTATTCAACTACTCTACCTGGTTGCAACACTTTCTCGGGCAGGAGACGAGGTGGTAAATGTGGCTCACCGGCGACAGCGGGAGGGGGATGCTCGACGTCCTGATCAGCGTCAGGCGGCGCCGCTGCTCCGCGGTCAGCGACGCCCTGCGGCTCCTGGCGAGGCCGTGGCCCGATAAGTCCGCGGACTCGGCGCTGAACCCTCGGAACAGTTTCGGCCGCAGCATCGTGACTGGCGGACGTAACTGGTGCGCTCTACCGCCGACTGACGCGACGTTCGCGATAGAGCATGCACTTCAAAGGGCGCCCGGATCGATGGAATTTGTCTTATTTCACGATGAAAAAGAACAAAAAACTCAACTGCACTACCGCGGGGTCCGCAATAAACGAAAGCACGCACTTTAGAGGGCGCGAGAGTCGACAGAATTAAGCGTATTTCGCAATGTTGAAAAAGAAACACTCGACTGTCCCACTAAGCTCTGTATTTTGTTATACTATGAATTCATGTAAAAATTTCCGTTCAATTGTGATCGTACCGGTTAAACCGTATCGCCGATTATTGGTTTCATTATATCATGCGGATGTAACTGATGTAAAAGTTCGCGTGATTAGCCTAGCTACTACTTGGACGTGGCCGCGGGCAAAAACTAGTGATTCTTTAATTCGAAAATCGAAGGCTCTGGCCACCTAGTGGGTAATGCAGTTAAATGGCCGCCTCTAATCTTCCAATGCCGCCGCGAAAGAATGCCTAGAAATGACAGAAAGCGAAGCCATAAAACCCGATAGCCGTAAGCAGATTTACGGGTTGGCGAGATTATGGCTAAAAAAACCAGTAAATTAAAACATTATTTCATGTTTAATTAGGAACAGACGTAAACATCCTAAATTGTTCTACTATCCGACGTTGAATTAAAAAAATGTTAATGTTAATGTTTGTCACATTAGCTGACGTAACGTTCAATTTAAAAGAAATATTAATATTATGTAAATTGATTGACATTTTATTAAAAAATTGTCTGTCATAACATTATTTCAAAGTAAATAATTACGGTCGAATGTCGGCACAAATTAAATCATCTGAAATCACTTTTTAATGGTTTTTATGGATTAGGAGTAAGGCAAAACCATATCTTATTGGTCAAAAGAGCGATGCAAATCATACCAAAGGTAAAACAGCTATAAATTATTTGACAGTATAAATACTTTCGAGCGAACATTATCAAGATATATGAAACATACGCACAATTCTATGAAAATGTTATATTAATTGATATCCAGCATTAAAATACTATTTCATTTTAGGAAGGAAGTTAGAACGTGCGTCGTAATTTATATTTTATTCATCTATTTAGAACGAAGCAAAAAGAAATTCAAAGTGCCAATTCAAATTTTACGATGATATGATCAAGCCATAAGGTAATAGAGCCATAAAACATTTTTTTAAATAAAGTATAAAACTGACAGCCAATCATAACCAAAAGGGCCATTCACCTTTTCCTCTCCATTCTGATCTTGAACGTTTCGTTTACTATATTTTTTTAATAGCAACACATAATTATCCGGCCGGTCCTATTACCGGACGCGGGACCGCGAACCGCGAACCCGAACTCAAATATAGAGTTCGAATTTGGAACGAATCGTCCGGCTGGTTTTGCGACGGGCACGCAGCGCGGACTGAGCTGAGATTCGGAGACAGTGCGACGTGCGACTCGTCCGCGATGATACGGCCTTGATTATAAGTAGTATGTTCGACATTTAAAATTGGATCGCGCGCGAATTTTAGCACTGAGGAGGTGACATCTTTCTTCTTTTCACGTATAGGGTGAACGAACCCTATGGTGTAGATAGGGTTAATTTTTTATCGATAGTTGGGGCTATACCAGATGCGTTACGATCTTTAAAATAGTGTTACCATATAAAAGGCTAAAGGATGAATCATTCCTTTTCAGGTCGACCTCCTGTACAATAAAAAACAATAGTACTTTCCAGCCTGCCGCTTCGTGCATCGACAGAAGCACATCTACTATGAGACCTTGTAAGGATTCGTTCACATTTTCCTTTCATACGACGAAATGGAAAAAGCCGGTATTGCCCAAACCCTGAGATGATAACGGTATTCGAATTGTCAAAGTTAATTAAAATTCAAATTCAAAATATCTTTATTCAAATAGGCCCTTGCGCTTTCTTATGAAACGTCGAATTTTAGATAAATACATAATTTCGTGTAAAGAGCCGTGATAGCTCAGTGTCCGGGCGCTCGCCTTTAATTAATTTTACTCGAGCAACCCGAGTTCGATCCCCGGTGCCAGCAGCAATGAAATCGTTAATTTTAAGTGCTGGCTTATCACGTGCTCCGCGGTGAAGGAAATCATCGTGAGGAAACCTGCATATTTTCAAAATAATAACAAAAAAAAAATATTTCGAAGATATGTAAAGTCCGCCAATCCGCGACCGCGTGGTGGACTATGCCCTGATACCCTCTGTACAGAGAAGGCTTTTGCCCAGCTGTGGGACATTTATAGGTTGTTACTTTACTTCACATAATTTCGTAAGTAGTGACCCGACTGCATTGTTATCTAAACAAAATTATTTAGAAAAAACAATGGAAAAAAGTTCAAGTAAAATGTATAAAGGAACATCCTATACAAGCCTCACTGCTGGACAAAAGCCTCCTGTGTACAGAGGGAATAGTCACCACTCGACTCTACTGCGTCTTCAAATCTTCGCAATATTATTTTTTCTTTCGATTCGACTCACGATGATTTTCTTCACTGCTGAACACGTGAATTGAACAATTTTGAATGGTGCTGACACTGGTATTTGAACCCAGGTTGCGCGAGTATGTTGAGCGAGCGCCCGGAACACTGAGCTATTACGGCTACTACGGAAAAATTACGTTATTTTTTTTTGATAACGTTAGATTTCAACGTTATTAATGAACGTTTCTAAAACTTTAAACGTTTTGTGAGTTTAAATTTGCCAGATATTGGGAACTATAGAGCAGGCCAGGATAGACAAGTAAGACGCAGTCAACTATACATATTTTTTTGAATACAAATGATGCCTAGCCTTTTTATTTCGGAAACAGAATGAACAACAACGGTGGTAGGACCATGCAGCAGCCTCGGCTGTTGCACGAATGGGCAGGCCCGACCGGGTAAGTACCACGACCTCACAGAAGACCAGCGTAAAGTGTAAGTATGTAAAATACTTTCGCGTTTCGTATGGTCAGCGAGGTAGCCGGAGCCCAATTTTCAAAAGGTTGTCAACGCATCTGTAACTCTCGGTTGAAGCAGATCTCCATGGGCGGCGGTATTCACTTAACATCAGGTGAACCGTCTGCTCGTTTGGCAACTATTCACATTAAATAAAAACCTTCACTATTAATACGCTAACACGCTAACAATATTTTTTATTAATAAATATTTACATCATACTTAGAACATTTCTTTACAGCTAAATTGTGCCCCTTAACCAGTTTAGTATAATACGTTCACCAAACGATATTTACAGCAATACTATTTCCGATTTCATTGGAAAGTACAAATTTAGCGGAATCATTTTGACACTATGCAAAAAAAATATTTTTTCACTATTTGGCGGCCGACCGATAGTCTGGACAATTGGTTTCTTTTATTATGCAGTTGGCGACTTTTGTCATCAGCTAATATCAAGATATCTTTCATTCTTCTTAGAATGTAAGAACCTATGGATGTAGCCATGTATTAAAAAAATCCAGCAGTTCAATTGCTTACCAGCCGATTGATATTTCTTTGATCTCGCTGTTTCTGTGATCATGGAACAATCACATCTGCGCATCATTTTCGTATAGCAATAGTTCGTATTTTTCGACCGATCTCGTATTATAAACAACGGTTCTTTACGGTTTCGAAAGTACAATGAAGATGAAATTTCGACCTAAATGAGATCGAATCAAAGGAATACTAAATTCAATAACTATGTTCTACCTAATAGAAGTATTTTCCATTTTTGCGTTGTGTCTGGTTAAATATGCTTAAAACTCTTTTAAAACTTGACAAAATATCAATTAAGATGTAGTTGTTTTAAAAATAGCCCTTAAGAATATACGCACAGATTCAAAAATCGAAACAGATCATATCTAATCTACGTTCTAGCAACAGATAAAGCGCGGTGACTACGTTTGTTACATTTAAAGAGGCAATTAAATAAAAGGCGCGCGAATGCCCAGCTGTGGGTATCCTTCTGGATTTAGATTCGCTGAAGCTTGCACGTAAAACGAACATCAGGGGTTTTATTACATATTAACGACTTAAGAGGCCTTAATGGCCTGTTGGTGTTCAATAGTACTCCCCAAACCCACATACGCACATTAATGAGTACAGTTCAAAAACGTACTAAAAATAATTCTACAATCTAATGTATTTTTGTTATTTATTACATATATGTTTTTTACTCGAATAAATATTCCAGCCAGATGTAAGACCGTTTTAATAGTAACTCATCTGTTTACTTGGAACCCGACTTCAAAGTAAGTCATTTAATTAGTCATATAATATACTGATATAAAACAGAGTTGAAGTTTGTTTGTTTATACCTTAAAGGGGATCCCTTGAAGAACACTTTTTCGATTCTGTATTTTTTTTACTTATGCCAAGTTTTATTATCCCAAAAAGCAATATAATTATTTAAAAAAGTTTAAGTTTTTTGGTACACACATTATTTTTATATCAAATCGACAATATTCGAGGCGTAAAATAAATTGACAGTTGCACGCAACTTTTAAACACACGTGTCTGCGTATTAGCTGCGTATGGTTACTTTACAATTTATATGCATTGAACTAATAACCCAGATAAATGGATTTCATGTTTCTTAGCATACAAATCGGATAGTCCAATTCAACAGTCCAATAGTCACGAGAAATTCCAAGTCTCGAAATTGTAATTTAGTTGATAATTAAACTTACTGACATTTTAAATATATTACCATTGAATCAGTTATTTCGTCAGATTTAGAGTGAACTTATCTAAACAGATAAATAAAATTGGAGTGTCTGTTTGTAATATTAAAATAACCGCTTTTTACTAAATGCAATTTAATGTATACACACACGGTACATATAATAAAATATTTTTTTATAATTTTTGTCTGTCTGTCTGTTTTGTTCCGGCTAATCTCTGAAACACAGCTGGACCGATTTGGATGGTACTTTCACTGGCAGATTAAATAAGGAGTAACTTAAGCTACTGTTATTTTAGATTTTTTTTTATTTTAATTTCCACGCGGACGAAGTCGCGGGCCTAGCTAGTCTAGGCATAGGAATGACACATCGAAACAGACTCCTTAAAATTTTCAGCCGTCTGTTAGGTAAGGAAAATATAGCATAATCTACGTATTCAAATTTAGTGTGAAACGGATAT